CATTGATCACGAGCTTGATGGAGAATCCAGACATGAGTGTCGGTTTCGACTTCCCTCCATCCAGGTTCTCCTCTGGCCACTTCCTGTGTTAGGAAGATGTCCACCTTGCCTGCCGATGTGGCCACTTTCTCCACATCTTGTCCACCCAAATTCCAGCTGGCGACCTGGAGAGACGTATGAACTCCTTCAGAGTCAGCGTTCACCCCAGATGTGAAACCACGTTTCAAGCGTCACTGCTCTCTTTCAAAGGCCTCCACGGCCTCTTTCCACTCGGCTCCAGTGATTGTGGTGACTGCCCGCACATCAACCCATCCCTGGTTCACCTGGATGTAGTCATCGTTGCGCGAGTGGTTCTTGCGGTGAGTGGCGCTCGCGAGTTTGAGGTCACCATGCCAAATCGTCCCTGTCGACCAATCGACGTCATAGTTACCACTCTCCAGGGCGTTGGGGTTCTTGGCCTCCCCTGCCTCGGTCCGAGTCTCCCTTGCAAGATGCATAACAATTCGTCTTGTGAGTGAGCACATAGCGGATCTCTTCCTGGCCTCGGGCGTCTTGAGGAAAGATGCCCAAAATTCGTTTGCCTTCATCCTGGTCACCCTTTGTGCTGGCAAGTTGGATCTTCTCCTGGCGGATCTTGTTGACAACCTCCCACATGCGCCCTTTGACCCCTTGGATGGCTTCGTTGTCTCTGAGTTTGAATCTCAGGATCCCAAAGCTACGTCTCGGTCCGAAGATGGTGAGCTTGGGGCTGTCAACTAACGCCGCGAAGGAGGGCTGCTCAAGGATGTCGCGAGCCTCGTTCTCAATGGTAAGGCGACGTGTGTCGGCCAGCCACCCACCCACAATGAGAGATCTCTGATCCTCTTCACTCAGTCCCGGCTTCTCGTCTTTACTAGGCGTTGCTGTGGTTCGACCAGGGTCACCCCGGCGCAGGTACTCGGCCCAGGGGTCAAGCCTGGCCTCATTGTCACCCTTCCCTTGATTCGGCCCATCGGTTTGAAGTCCCGCCAGTTGAGTCTTGATTCGTTCAATCTCACCCTCGAGCTCTTCAGTCTTTCTGGCCGTCGCGTCCCCCTTCGCCTGGATGCCCATGATCGTCTGGTCAACCGCCTTGTGCTTGACCGCCTTGAGCTCCTTCTTCTGCCCCTTGACCTGTCCCTCCACATTGCTGACGCGATCCTTGATGTCCCCCCATGCTTCCTTCATCTCTCGAAGATGTTCACCAAGCAGAGCTTTTAACTCCCGGGAGGAAACCGTCATCAGTTGATCATCCTCCTGAGGGCGCTTCGTGGGACTTTCATCCTCTGCAGGTTTGGCTCCTCTAACTCGCTTCCTCTTGCTTGCCATTCCACTGGGGTTTAGGGTTTAGGGTCCTAGGGTTTTAGGGTTTTGGGTTTAGGGTTTAGGGTTTTAGGGCATTAGGGATCATGAGACTTAGTAACTAGGGTTAGAAGTCGTTTAACAATACCTATATGTGCTTGTAACACCAGTGAAGGTGCGTATAGCCCTGCAAGCAGAGGTGAGGCTTCCGTGTTGGGAAGATGGTGTGGGGCTCTGAGCTTTTCCGGGGTGTCGGCAACCGTGATATCGGGGCCTTAGTAATTTCAAGAGGGTTTTGGGGCCAGGGTTTAGGGTTTAGGGTTTAGGGTTTAGGATTATACTATAATGATAGTAAGGAGCCCCCGAAATCGTCTTCGTAATTATTTCGGCCCCTTCACAGCTCTCCGAACTCTCAGGCTCGAAACCCGGACCCTGGAACCCAAAACTTCTTAAGCCCTGAACCCTCATGCCCTATGTCCTGCTATTCCTGCATCTTCAAACCCCGAAACCTGAGAAAGCTCAAAGCTGTTAAAACCCGAAAGCCTTAAACCCCAAACCCCGTGATCCCTGCGACCTGGATCCCAATGACCCCTCATCCCCGCAACCCTTCATCACTACCATCTTTCATCCCTTCCACACGCAATCCCTACAACCTATACCCTATACCCTAAACCCTAAACCCTATACCCTAAACCCTAAACCCTAAACCCTATGCCCTAAACCCTGTACCCTAAACCCTTCAACAATCACGCTGGAGCGGGCAGGGCGCGTGATGTTCAGCAGAGTGATCGGAACTTCAACGAGGCCTTCTGCACCGACCCGAGGGTTGCGACAAGGAGCAAATGTAGGGGCCCTAATAATTAGGATAGGGTTTCACCAGGTTCCTTTAAGGGGGCTCCTTAAAGGGTTCTATAATGGCTACTATAAGGGTTTAGGGTTTAGGGGCCTTAATAATTAGAATCGGGTTTTGGGGGCTCCTTAAAGAAATATTAATAGTATAATACACCCCCCAACCCTAGTCTAATTATTAAGGCTCCTATATTAGGGCAGATGGACAAATTTCGCAATATCCAGAGTTAGGGATATACCTCTAGCGTATTTCAAGCATAATGTATTATTGTGTCCATCAACAGCATTACTACAACGATAATTATGACTGCTAGTATTTATTGCATTGCGTTCAAGGTGAGGGCGACCGGGCTCTTGCGTCTTCGATTTTCGCAACCATCATGAAACTTAACTCGACAAATCTTCTGCGCAGTTCGTCAAGCGCCGCCTTTTAAGACCTTTGCCCTGTACATTTGCCCCGAGCCCCGTCTACCCTACAAAACGTTATGAGGCTGCTGCTCTGCTCTCACACCTGCAACATATCACACCATATCATGTGTCATTGAGTCATGTAACATGTATCAGTTGTCATTTACCATGTACCATGCAACATATAATGTGTGTATACATACATATACATAAATACCTTTATGTGTTTGCTTCTTTGTTTGTCTATTTGTTGTTTACTTATCTAATTAGTTATTTATTCAGTTCGTTAGTTTTCTTACCCAGAGAACCCAATACCCTTTAATTAAGGAATATACCTTAAATCATAGATATTAAGGCCCCTATAATTTGTTTAAGGTATATTCCTTAATTAAGGGGTATTGGGTTCTCTCGGTATACACACTAAACAGTGCTAACGGCCTGGAAGGAAGCGTATCGCCAGGGCAGCTTTGGACGGATCCGCCTTCAGGCATACAGAAAGCTGTGAAAGGACATGCGGGTTGCTTCAACGGTGCTCGGAAACCCTAAACCCTGAACCCTAATTAAACCCTAAACCCTAAACCCTAATTAAGCCCTGAACCCTAAACCCTCAACCCTAGTTAAACCCTCAACCCTACTCTATACGGCTGTCCCAAGGAGTTTGGTGTCGAGGATTTGTTTCAAGCTTTGGATTCAGCAGCACTTCAGGGCCTGCAGTGAGAGCGTGACCTAGCATTCGGGGGGCCTGAGCCTTTCTATACGTAAATCGGACTGCATGCTGGTTCCCTGGTTATCATTTTTTAACAGCGCAAACCCAGAGGAGCAGCCTTCCTTGTTTGATCATACTGATACTTGTTGCCTAATTCCAGGCAGGATTGCACCACTCTGCAGTCGCTGCAGCGTACTTTTGCTGGCCTCGACTGGCATCATCTCGTCATCGTCGTCCCACTGCTCCTGCAGCCACGGGTCGAGCGAGTGATGCCAGGTCATCTTATCGTTCTCTAAGCTTCCGCTCATGGAGGTTCGGAACGCTGACATCGTATGCACTTACTGGTTTTGGCTTGGCACCATCATATCTTCGACGTTTCTGCCTGCACACATGCTAATGCAAAATTCGAAGCCGCAGAGCCTTGCGAGTTCAGGTTTCAGGGTGGTCACGTTCTAATGCCTAATGTAGGGGCCTATAATAATTAGAATAGGGTTTTGGGGCTCCTTTACAGTACTATTATAATAAGGAGCCCTAACAGGAATATTGGGAAACCCTAAACCCTAAACCCTAAACCTTAAGCCCTCGGTCTCGCCTCCGGCGCGAGGTGTTCGGCAGCGAACTCGAAGGCCGCACTGCAACAGGGATGCTGCCTCGCTCTCACGGGACTGCCGGGTCGCTACGGCCCATGGTGGAGGGCTTTAGGGGTTTAGGGTTTAGGGATTTTTTGTTAAGGTGTGGGGTTCAGGGTTTAGGGTTTAGGGATTTTTTGTTAAGGTGTGGGGTTCAGGGTTTAGGGTTTAGGGTTTTTTGTTAAGGTGTGGGGTTCAGGGTTTAGGGTTTAGGGTTTAGGGTCTCGAATTTCGGGCAAAAAGTCGGGAGATTTTGCGCGAGGCGTTGGGGCTGGGTCATGAAACCATGGGTAGTTGTCAAAATCATGGTCCCTTTTGGGATACCATAATTTTGAACCCTAATCCCTAAACCCTAAACCCTAAACCCCTAAACCCCTAAACCCCTAAATCCTAATTTTGACAACCACCCACATGGACTCGGGTTGTGGGAGCCCGGCTCCTGGCCGGTCTAGGCAACACAGACTGGTTTCCCGAAGCCGGAAGTTTAGGGTTTAGGGTTTAGGGTTTAGGGGAAACTCCCTAAACCGCAAACCCTAGCCATAAGCCCATAGCACGAAACGTCATCAAAGCTTACACACTGAACCCCAAACCCGAAACCCGCAACCCCTAAGCCCTGAACCCGACATCCATAACGCCAATCCCTAAAGCGTAGCACATTCCTGCCGCAGAGTTGAAGACCGCAGACCCCAACACCGGAAAGCTTCGACCCCACAATGGAAGTCGCACGTCTCGGTTCACATCCTTAGGGTTTAGGGTTTAGGGTTTAGGGTTTAGGGTTTTAGGGTTTAGGGTTTAGGGTTTAGGGTTTAGGGCTTTAGGGTTTTGGGGTCTGTGTCCCTTGCTTAGAACTTTTGGGCTTGAAGGTCCCAGACTTCTGGGAAGATCTCAAAAGTAGATCCCCTAGTCTGGGACCCAAACTACTGAAGCGTACTTGATAGGAACCCCCTCATTTGTTCTAACACGTCTTGATTCATTTTAGATGCAATATTATTATTACTACTACTATTATTAAAAAATTTATTATTATTGTTATTTTGAAAACATAAACATTTTTTATAAAGGTCTATTTTTTGGATCCTTTTGGTGGTCTGGGGTTTGGGGCCCAGGGTTGGTACCGGGCCGGAGAAGCTACGACAGGCGAAGGCAAGGCAGACCCACTAAGGGTTTGGGGTTCAGGGGTTTAGGGTTTAGGGTTTAGGGTCTAGGGTTTAGGGTTTGGGGATTTAGGGGGTTTAGGGGTTTGGGGTTTAGGGGTTTAGGGTTTAGGGGTTTAGGGGGTTTAGGGGTTTGGGGTTTAGGGGTTTAGGAGGCCGAAGAAGCTGCGACAAGCGAAGGCAAGGCAGACCAACTAAGGGTGCGGCCCCAGCAGTGCCGGCAGCCTCCCAAGCGCAACGTGCCCCGGGCTCAGTGAACCCTGAACCCCTGAAATCCTTGAACCCCTAAAAACCCTGAATCTAAAACCCAAATTCTTCAAAACCCCTAAGTTCCTCAAAACTCAAAACCCCTAAATTCCTCAAAACCCCTACGTTCCTCAAAGCCCCCAAACCCCTCGAAACCGACATGCCTACAACCCGTGAGAAGGGGTCCCTTCTTGCGGCTTCAGGGCTGTCGTCTCCGGGGATTTTGGGGTTAATATAGACTCTCTCTTGCTGGGAAGCGCTCGACTTGGCTGGTTGTGTAAATCAGCGTCCCGCCCCGGGCCCTTTTTTCTGAGAGTGCCGTAGTTTTAGGCACGCGAAACCATGGCCCTGAAGTCTGGTGCCCCTGACTCCCAAGTCCATGACCTTCGCCCCGAAATCCACAATCCTCGAGCCCTCACCGACCCCAAAAGCCAGACTCCAGACTATGAACCCATAAACCTGCCATAAATAAACCCCTAAACCCTAGAACGTCAACTCTAAGCCCTAAACCCTAAACCCTAAGCCCTAAACCCTAAACCCTAGAACGTCAATCCTAAGCCCGAAGCCCTAAACCCTAAAGCCTGAAGCCCCGAAACCCAGCACCCCAAAGCTTAAGAAAAACTCACGGGGTCTCCGGGCCTCGTCAGCGCCGCGAAGATGTCACCAAGGGACCTTGCGGGCTAATGGTTTGGAGTTCAGGGGTTTAGGGTTTAGGGTTTAGGGTTTAGGGTTTAGGGTTTAGGGTTTAGGGCTGAAGGTTTGTATTATAAACCTGAAACCCTAGACCCAAAATCCTAAGGGCCGAACTTATGCAAACTTCGCATGGGTTAGGCCCGTAGGCTTTTGGGTTTAGGTTGAAGGGTTCAGTTAGGGTTACGCTGATGCTACTTCAGCACTCCACTACTCGGCCACCACATGGCAAAGTTTGAAGGACGAGGGCTCGGAAATCGAATCTTAGGGCTGGGGCTTAGGGTTTAGGGTTTAGGGCTTGAAGAGTTTAGTGGTTGAAGTTCTGTGCCTCAATCTGATCCAGAGCACTCGGAGTCCGATCCAACCCTAAACCCTAAACCCCTAAACTCTCAATCAAGCTAAAATGAAACCTCAGACCCCTGAACCCCGAATCCCCACTGCTCTTCAAGAAGTGAACCCAACATCCCAAACTCCGGAAGGCATGCCAACCTAAACGTTCTGAGAGCACCCTGGCTGCAGGTTCTGTGATGGGCCAAAGTCGGAGTAAATTCGTATTGACTAGTATCTTCCTCGCATGACGTCTGCCTGCAATACAAGCGCAATATGGTGACGGCGACGACGACGACTTCATGCGTTTCCGACATTCCTATGCCCTTACATCGCGAAACATAGCTGAGGCCGGTGGCTCATCAGGCAGCAGCTTCGAGATAGCGCGCAGCAGCGAAACGGCCTCTGGCTGTTGCTACGCCCAGTTCAGGCTGCGTGTTAGGCAAGTTTAGGCGTGTGGTTGGGCTTCGTGTCGGCTTGTACCTGATGAGCTGTTTTGCACGTGCCTGGCATGGGTTTGGGAGTTTAGGGCTTAGGAGGCTCCTGCGATCGAAGCTCGAACTCCTGAAACCTCGTCCACGTGGGTTACTCGAAAATTGCCGTTCCCTTTCACTTGCCTGGCACAGTTTATGGTGTATCGTAGCACGGAACCCTAAACCCTAAACCCTAAACCCTAAACCCTAAACACAGGGACTCATCATCTCTAACAAGACCCTTTCGTCTGAAACCCCGGCAGCAAGACCGACCCTGGCACCAGGCTAAAGCCACGAGAGACCTCAAAATCAAGTTTCCATAATTAGAATAGGGTTTTGGGGCATACTATACTATAATAATAATTATTATTATTATTGAATAATAATAATAAGAATAAGAATAATAATAAGGAACCCCCAAAATAGTATAGGTAATTCTTTATCCCTTTCGTCTTCAAGCGTAACATGCCCAAGCTCGAAAAGCCCGAAAGCCTTCCATCCCAAAGCAACTAGGCTTCCCTACACGCTGCGCCGGAATTTCTTCAGCGCTCGCCTGTCTCCGGCGGAGCTTGCAGAGCTTCAGCTCAAGCATTCATCTCAAGCTTTGGTGTGCCCGTACTTCTTGTTTCGAAGTATGACAAATGTAGGTGGGAGAATCCTCGACATTAGCATGGTTCTTTCATTGCCACATTGCTCTCGATTCTATAATTGGCTCTAGGATCTGAGCCGCTACTCACTACCGTCCTCACCTGTCTTTGTTTGACTACTATTGACGTCGTTATTGCGACATTACCGTAGATGCTGTGGGTATCTGTGCCACCTGCTGCACCATTCCTATGTTGCCTGCAGTTTTGTTTGTGGTCTCGATTCTCGGTCAGCCCTATCCACCCCCCGCTGTAGGCTTTGCTTTGCTTGCAAGAAAAATATCCACCTTGTTGGGATTCTGAAACCCTGAACCCTAAACCTCTAAACCCTAAGACCCTAAACCCCGAAACCCTCAGCCCCAAAACTCAAACTCTTCAGTCACAACCCCTAAACCCTTTCGGGATGTACGGTTCTACCCGAAGCTTGCTTTGCCAAAAGCCCTTCTTGCAACTCCAAGGAGTCGAAGACCCTGAGCCCTCAACAAAAAACGCTCGGAGACTGGCCCTAAACCCTAAACCCT